ATGCGCACTCCAGTGCTAGACCTGATCGAACCTGATGCATAGCCATGATTGCAGATGCTGCAACTCCAGCTTTCTCAGTGATCAACTTCTTTATTGTGACTGGAGACAATTTGCGCCAGCCATGTTCTTGCGCCAATCTAAAAAAGAGATGTTTTTCTTCTCTAGGGGGGCTTTTTGCATTAGGCTTTACATCTGTAATAGGCCTTCGAGGGGTGGGAAACGCGGGTGGATCTGGGAGCTTAGCCACTTTCCGAGCTACTGTAACACACGGGTGCGCAGTCTCCTGTGGCTTTTGAGGCTGTTGGTGGTGCGACTTATCGCTTGTTTTTGTCGCCCTAGGCGCAGAGGTTGTTATCTCCGTGACTTCGGAGTGTGAGGTCTTGCCTCTGGGGACTATGGCATCGGTCTTTCCTATTGCAAGCGCTGTCACTGTAGGTGATATTTTTTCGATAAATGGCGCGACTAGAGCCGCGCCTTCAGTTCCTGCCTTGGATTTCGCCCAGGCATCGATATTTTGCAGAACATCTTGAGCTAGGCCTATTCTCTGCATTCTTTCGCGCTCTGATTGCTCTATCGCAGCAGCAATCTCAAGAAGGCTCGGGTGTAATTAGTCGCCTGGGTCGATTGACGCCGAGGACGACGGCTGATTGTGCGCAGCCATGGTGCTGCTCGATTTTACGGGTTATAAGAAACCGGGATAAGTATAATAATGTGCGTGTATGGGATAGATGCAGTGAATGAGTAGTTTAAAATTTTGTTGGGTGATAACTAGCTAATTATTATGTACTGTTACAGTATGTCACGTGAGATGAGTCCTCCTAACACTACAGGATACCTAAGCGTAATACTTAGATTTTTTACAATAAGGTCGCATGAGGAGGGAAAAATGGAACTAGACGAAACAATACTACTTATCAGGATGCTAGATCGCTTTTACAACTAAGTAACACCTAGCAATACATGGCTAGTTAGCGAGTATGGTGTCTGGATGAAAGCCATCAGTTAGTAGATACACGAATCGGATCAGTCTTTAAAAGTACCTGTTTGTTGTAGCAAGAGTTCTCTTCTCTCCTCATATAGTTTAATAAATCGACTTATTCATCACCAGCTCGGTTTCCGTCACACGCTATGAGTTCTCTCCCCATATATGGCGAAGCTATCGGCTGAGTATGCTGGGCCGGTAGATGCCCTATCAGAGTAGATGCACAGCGTGCTTGCGGGAAGATTTCTAAGTCACAACTTAATCTGCTTCGCCTTTTCCTCCTTGTCGCATTTGACCCCGGCTGTATCAATTGAGATCCGCGGTTTATAAAGCTGCCCGAGACCTTCTGATTCTGCTAGGTTGGGGTTCTCATTTTGAAGTCGTGTTAGGTATCGCTCTGAAACCCTAAATGCACGTCTTTTCTGCCCCTCTCACAGTTGGAGTCGCTTAGTTGCCTCTTTGGGTGTCTCAACTCCCCTTGACGCGAGTGGATGTGTGTGTGTGTTTTATTGTACTACTTGAGTCTATGACTATCTAGCACATTGGGCTCCTCTCTGACCCAGGCCACACCTTGTACAGTGCTCCTGTTCTCTTTTGTTACTTGAAAGATCATTGATATATTCCCTTTGATGAATAGCTACTCAGCTCAGTATTTACCCGTGGAATTCGGCCACCTTTTCCACGGAATCTTCTACCCAAAAAAATAAAAATGGTAGCAATGGAAACTGCGTGCGCGAGAAAAAGTCTCAAAAAACCTGCAGCCCCAGCCAGGCGAGGCCTAGACACCGGGACCACATGAGGTGCGCATATTCATCTATATCTCCCTTCTTTGTAACAGTCGAGGTCGACTTGATCCAATCCACCATCTCCGTATCGGGTGCTGGGTACGCTCCGGAAATTCATCGGAAGGCTTTTCCTCCATGATCAAGGGTGGGTGATGAGTAGGGCTCCGACCCTACCATCTGATCTGATCGTGGTTAGCTTCATGATAGTCGTGATAGGGGAATGTGTTGAGAGATGAAGACGATACAGACCGCGAAAGCGATTGGGAATCCTCTTCGAAGTGAGGACTTTGTTACTCAATCTCGGCTCTGCAGACTCTACAGTGAGAGCTGGAGGTTCGTAGGGGACACCACTGACAGGTGTTGAGAATAGTCCCCCGACGCGAGTGGATGATAGCTATCGAGTCGGCGAATTCTGGTCGCACTTCAGAACTGTCGCTGCTGAAGCATTATTTCTGCAGGTAAGATCCCTAATTCTCGGTGTAGAACTATATTTGGTGTGGTCCGCCACACTGGTAGTGCAACTCGAATTGCAGTCAAGATTGTCCTATCTAGTAGCTAGAAGTGCCATCCGACACCCGTACTTACTTTCTTGTCTCGTTTGGTTGTGATACGGGTCAGTCCAGACTACAAGGCTTCAGCGCCATAGATTGCCGTGCTCACTACACATGAATTCACCGCATGAATTAGTGGTCCTGGAGCCGCACCTCCATGAACCCTGTTTATGCTGCGTATGAAGTGTGATAGTCGCTGTGCCTTGTACACCATTCCTGAACGTGCCAGCTGAATGATAATTGAGAATCAAGCCAAATTCCGAGCCATCGGATATGCGGAGAAGACATAATAAGCTATTCCTCAACTCTAACCGTTAAGTTGGATGAGTCAAGTTTCTTCTTCGGTCCTCCCCCGATGACCGGGAGCTCAGACTTCGAAGGGTCGAACTTATTCCCGTGTAACAAAGCTACCTGGACTATCCTGTCTACTTCAACCTGGGCAGCCTCAACAGTTTCAGAAGGACTTTTACCAACTCGGACAATCGCGATGCCGTCTGCATATCCGAGTCTATATTTAGTTTTGCCATCTTCGAGTAAAATCGAGATATATAACATGAATAGAAGTCGCGAAAGTGGTGATCCTTGCAGGACACCGCACTCCACAAGCTTCTCATCTGTAACGCCTTCTTCATGTCTCACCAGAACTTTTCGTTTTTTTAGAAACGATTCTACCCAGCAACAGAGTGATAGGGACCAGCCCTGACTTGGCATTCGTGCGAGCAGCCGATTATGTAGCACTGCATCGAAGGCACCTTGAGATTGTTACAGCATGCTGTCGTACATATTTCTTTAATGAGTCGACAGTACTGCAGGTGCTTGACTTGGAAGGTGCAGCGTTAGTGTCTTGGCATGTAGATAATCTAATTTGGAGGAATAACATAGGATATACTAAGGAAATAATGACCCCTCAGTCACTGAGGTTGTAAAGCGCATTGATTCAAGTAACTACCGAAATGAAACTAAACACATAATCTATAGTCACGTGTGTATCAACGACCTTGCATACTTGATCGTCCTAACTATCCTAAATTTTGACAGGATAGACAAAATAGATAATACAATCAGACGATTTTTACCGCTACTCATCAAATGCTTTTAAGTCCGTCACAATTAACTTTATATTATTGGCCTTCGGTCCCCTTTATTTTGATATAAGAAGAATCACATAAAGCAGTTGATATGACTCAAAGTTCAGGTTTATCATCTCAAGAAAGCATCCCGAAAATCAGTAAGTTTCATACTGGGTGGCTTACACTTTCCGTTGAAACTCCCAGACAAAGCGAACTTCTATGCCTAAGGCTAACCCTTCTTAATGTTATTATCCACAAATTTCCCCTTCTTAGTTCTTATTTTTCGTACCTGAAAGAAATTTTAGCTTGTAATATTTAAAGATCTAGGCTAAGGCTACAAATGAAGATTTTGGTTAAACGTAGGACTTTGTTTTACATCGTTCTATATGTAAAATCAAACTCACAGAGACTTTGATAACTATAAATGCAACCAAATTATTATAAATGAGATTATAAAAGAAGCAGATTTTTGATACACTTATAGTTGTTATATTCATAGGTTTAGGAGATCAGATGGTTTGTTTACAGCTCTGAATACTACTGTTTTGCGTTGTATAGCCACCTGGTTGGTCCAAACTATTAATTCTGCCGAGCAAAAACTCCAATTGCCTATATGAAGCCCCAGGCGTATACTGTGGAACCATATGACCAGCTAAGTTAATTGTCGCAAAGGTTAAGCCTCTCTCCGTGTGCCAATGCCCTTGGTAGCCAGCTCCTGCAGTGTCGTACTGGGGGGCAATCCCTGGAATAGCAGAGTTTGCTACTTGCAAGATATATTCAAGAGAATCATGATATGGAACCAATAAATTCATTTCACGGCTGGGCGTATTTTGGAATCCTTGGAATCCGTTCCATGTCATATTTTGGATAGTAATTAGGGATCCATTCGCAAATAGGAGAAAATCTAACATTCCATGACCGATAATTACATTATTTGTCCGCTCGATTACTGATGGAAGTGGACCTAGAGCTGAAGGAGCAGAGTGATCACCTTTGGGAAAGAGGTTCGGACCGCCTTGACATTCAAAAAATGACTTTTGTGGTGCGTTGATTACTTTTTGGACATCTGAGCGATTGAAATAGTTATTTGGTCCCCCAGCAAGAGACGGAAACCCCAAAGTATTCCATGTATATGGACAAAAATCAGTCAAATGATAAATGTTGAAGCAACTGCAAGATTAGTGACACCTCAGTATTAATATATTACTCTACTTAATGTTATTTGGGGTTGACTTACGGGTTGACGTAATAAATTGCACTATATATATCATCGTATAGGTCACATCCACTCACCTGAGAGCTAGGAGCTGACGGTATGGGACCTGGCGGAGGAAATGTGGTTGTGTATTTTTCGAAAAAGTCCGTGTAGCCACAACTTTTGGCACGTGCTTGTATGCTTGCTAAGAATGTATCGTTAAGACCAATGACATTTTGATAGTAATTTAGCGCTTTTCAAATTAGCGATCAGGAAATAAAATTTAAAGAACAAGAATTCCTAGTTCAATACTATGCTTGATCTATAGTACTGTAAGCATTTTTACGTACCTGGGACCACAGGAGCTATAGGAAGATTAGCTATTACTGCAAATTCGATGGAAAATCATACCTTGAATCAAAACATCGTTATCGTTGATTGAAGGATCATTGATCTGTATGCCTTTAACATTGTAGTATGTCGTGTCGTTAGCGTCGAGCATAGCTGAGCTGTTACAGTTAGCTTTATCAGATAGCACCAGCTCTGTATCTAGAGGATCTTAACCCACGCTATGTACGGTATATACTGTCCTGCGTAACTTTCACCTGTGATGTAAACTTCGTAGCCTTCCATCTTGAACTTTGAAACAAAGTTCTTCCAGAATGCAAGGAAATGTGTTGAAACATCATTTTCATTTTCGACTGTAATATTTCCACTTGAGAAGCCGGTGCTGACTGGCTGATCAATGTAGATAACATTGGTAAGATTGGTCCAGCTGTAAGGGTTTAGAATCGGCTGATAAGTTCCAGACTGCCAGAGAAAGGGCCCTGGTAATTGTTAAAAGGGTACAATTGTTGTTAGAAGTTGTCTAAACCGTTTTCTTGAATCAACCCATTCAATGAGCTGCATCCAGGCCCCCCATTAAGCCAGATAGTCACCTCCCTTTCTGCTAAAGGATTTGTTGAGGGAAAAAACCACTGCAGCGCGGTTAGATTTGATGCCTTTTCAATGAGCTACGACTTTAGACCGAAACCTTGGTAGGAGTTATCTTACGAACCACAACTGATTTGAATCATTGATATCAGTAGAAATGGGAATGGACCCGGCATAGCTTTCACCGATGTCAAAGGTAAATTCAGGAAGCGCACTGCCATTGACGAGAAATTCTACATTGTAAGAATTTGGTAATTTATTTCAACATAAAGGTTCTTACTAGATGTATCCTCATCAAGATATTTGGTTGTGATCTTGCGAGATGATCTGTCTTGAGCAATTGGAATAATTTTTCGTTGAAGAAATGGAGCTACTTTTTCGTGCGCACTCCTATACGCAGAAGTGCATGTTGCAGATGCAATGAGGAGGTTTATTAGGCGCATTGTATAGAGGTCAAGCCTGGAATTTATAAGCTCGAAATACTCCAACGGCGTATAAAGAGAGCGGCAAGCTGAAGATGAGTTAAAAGAGTGGAAAACTACCGGCAGGTCGATGCTGGCTATCAATCATGTAAGATGGAGAAAGGGCTATAAGGTTGTTACAGATCCTCGTAAAAAGGCATCAAGCCAGCTCTTAACGTTTGTCCACAGCAAACCATCTACACCTAGTGGCTGAGATCAGCTAACTTTTGATATACACCCCATTCCACATCCGATGGTAGTGGGCTCTTCAGGTGGTCCGGGGCTGGGAAAGGTCTAGTCCTACATAGCTCGCCTAGGGCTTGGGGTTAAAGATCGGTTAACCTTTGCTTTGCTAGCTTTTTTTTCCCCGTTCCTCCCCGTTCGGTGAAAATCCCATCTGGACTAAATACCTAGTTGTTGATGTGCGTGTTGATGTGCGCAAGTCTTGTAGCTAGGGGTTGCGCTCATCAATAGTGACAAAGATCTGCATCAGCTGTTCCTAGTTGGCCTTAATCTATTGGGGAATCTTGTCCAACTTCGTAAATGTTGACAGCAGTTGATGTAATCTGCAACTTACCAGCTATATTCCCGAATTCAAGCGGAAACCAACAGTCGCTGATCAGCCCCACTTTAAGCTACGTCAATTTGCATACACCACATTTGGCGGCGCCACTAGCCTAGCCTGAGCGCGCAAAGCTTCGTGCAGTGTCTTGTGGATAAAAAAAGTAAATGGGTAAAAATGACTGGGGTGGTATCCCTTTACCTATGGATTTAATGTGTTTAGTTTTATGTAGGCCCATGTCTAGTTCGTCCACTAGTTATGAGAGCAAGGGTAATAACCAATGATATTCCGTGAAAGTCAAATCCAATGGGGTCGGTTGTCGACTTTGAAAGAAAGGTACAGTCAGACCCCTGTTAAGACGATATTGCCGTTTGTACGATATATTTTCCGGATCGAAATTTGTTAACATACATTTACCGATTACACGATTATCGTTCTTCAACCTCTGAATATCGTCTTAACCAGAGTTTTTTTTGCTAGCTTGGTGCTGACAATGCCGCCTAAAAAGGGAATTTCTGTGGAGCAACGACGTGCTCTGCGACGATGGGCGCACCGCCAGGTCCCGAAACCAACACAAAAACAGTGCATTGAGTGGTTCACCGCTGAGTACGGCCATCGATTAAGCCAGTCCATAGTCTCCGAGACCTAAAACAAGACCTTTGCGAAATTCGATGAAGCTACAAGTACTACTGCGCTACGACAGCGAGCTGGAAACTGGCCTGACCTTGAGAGTATTAGAGCGATTAAAGGCGGCAATTGGGAGTATAAAAGAAGCATCAAAAGTAAAAAGCAGCCTTGATAGCTGGAATAGATAATGATACCCTTTTAAACGACATCCTCTACATGATATTTTTCACGGCCCCGATTACATCGTCTTAACAGGGGTCTGCCTGTATTTGGGTTTTCATTAAAATATAAAAGAATCAATTGATAATACCTAAATATACAAATCTATTTCAAAATTATTTGCCCTGTATTACAAAAGTATGTATCAAAGCCTTCAGTCATGCTCGCAACTAAGATGAAAGCGTGTTACATGTTTCGTATCAGTCTGCTCCATCCTAATACTTTCTGTACCCTCCATTTTCCTTTATCACTGCTACAAATCTTTCGTACATGCTACCGACTTGTGACAATAGTTCCTCAGATGAGATAGAGTCCCATGCAGCCTGTAGCAATGTTCTCCTCGTGGCAGAGCGCACAAGCTTGAACCCATTTTTCTCAGGAGTATTTACCTGAATGTGGTTTTTTAAGTTATTCCAAAATGACTCGATCGGGTTCAGGTCCGGAGAGTAAGGTGGCCATTTAATAGGCGTTATTCCAACTTCGCACAGCGCCTCAATTGGCGAGTACGCTTCATGACATGGTGCGTTGTCGTGCATGTAAAGAATTTCTTGATTTTCCACGTGAAATTGATTCAAAAGAGGCAAAATCCTTTCACAATAGGATGAGGTCCTCATTGATTCCCAATCCTTCTCCCAGACTAGGAATGAGCCTTTTTGTGATCCGTGAAATGATCCCCAGAAACATCCAGCTGTTCCCATAAGCATGGCGAGCCACAATATATGTCATATCAAACTCATCATCAGGCTAAACTCTGCCGTTAGAACAAGGAAGATTTTGATAGAATTTAAACGTACTTTTCTTGTGACACGAGGTTTCATATGAGAATCACCCGATACTCAGTTTTCATCAGTTCATGTTCTGCGACGCCATTGTTTATCGTTCCAATCTAAATGTAATTGGGCGAACTCCAATCTTTTCTGCTTGTTCAACGCGCTTAACGGAGGCTTCTTCCGAGCAATGCATCTGCTATAACCTCTTTTTATGAGTGCATTAGAAATTATGTGCTCATTGCGTCCCCAGCGGCTGAAGGGCCCCATCGCTATTTCCAAATAGCACATCTGTCGATTCTCAGGAGATTCCCGGACGAAAGCCTCAAGCTCATCAAATTGTTCCGCGCTTAATTTAGATGAGCGTCTCTTGCGAGGCTTAGGATTCTCGGTCTCTCGAACACAAGCAAGTTGCACTCCCCTTATTGTGAAGCCAAATTCGTCGGATATATGTCGTAATGTCAAGCCAAGTCTTGTATATGCTCTTATTTCAATACATTGATCGCGAATTAGATGCTTGAAAACTTTGGTTTCTGAAGCAGACTTTGGGAGAGACATTATTTGCTAGAACAGAGGATGAATTAATAGTGATGTTAAGTTGGAAGGAATGTGTAGGATACGCAGCCAAAAATGTTGTTGACAATGATTTTCTCTTACTATTTGTTTGAAGAAGACGATTGGACCGTACTTCATGGCAAGCGAGGTAAGGATGAGAGACATACTAACCTATTACGAGTTAGTCCAGTTGCGCCTACAGGGCTAATCCCTCAAACAGCCCAGTTTGAAGCTTAACATTTCTAATCCTAGAGGCACTGTACCAGGCAATGCTCGGACGTAGGGATTTGAATTTGAATTTGAATTTGAAATCTTTAACGTGACAGGACGAACCCAACATCTATTTAGACGTGACACGGGTAGATGGGCCCTACGAGCTCATTGCTACCTACATGACCGGCATTAAAGCCAGAAGCGACAAAAGAAAAATAAAATCACAGCAAATGTCTGAGTTACGGTGCCCTGCACCGTATCCCTATCTTCCAAACACCTTTCCTCTCGAGCCAGAAACTATCTCAGCATGGTCACTCCCACCTTGTCAGTTCTTCGGCAGACTGTAGCATCTGCTTATGGTTAGGAATTGGAAAAACTTCTGCCATCCCTTCTCCCCTATCATTTCCCTGACCCCAGGTGGAGTCATTTTCTCACAGCTTCTCCAACGTTGCAGAGCAGGTCGGCACTCTGAAAAATGCCAGGGCCTTTTCTCTCGGCCACAAATGCACATCAGATCTTCATGTTCGGGGTTGAAACGCCGGTGGTAGTCGGCGTAGTCCCCGTGGCCTGTTCTTGCCGCAATAAGACGGTGATACGCCCATCGAGGCAGAGCCAGTTCCGGCGGTCGCTTGCAGCGCATGTAGAGGTCGAGATCTTTGTATCGTTTAGGCCGATACTTCTGCCACCACTCTTCCACAAGCTTTTGGCTCCGCATTTTCACTAGTCTCCCTAGAGCCGCAAAGGTCATAATTTGCTCGTCTCCGTTGGGCGAAGCTGAGGTTAGTGATTGGTCATTGAGATCTCCCAGGGCTGATTTGGCCAGCTTATCGGCTTCTTCGTTGCCTTGGATCCCCACATGACCAGGTATCCAGTGTATTTCTACACGCCTATTATGTCTCAGCGATGAGAACTTGTCCACCACTGTCTGCGAGGAATTGGATCTTCCTTGTTCGAGCGCTCTGACGGCCGCTTGATTGTCCAGAAGAATGCTGACCGGAAAGCCTTCTCCCACCGCTAGTGCAGCCTCCAAGGCTTTCATAGCGCCTACAACTTCTGCGTCGAATACCTCTGCTCCGGGAAGCGGACCCGAGCCACTTCCAGCTAGTTTGCCTCCTTGGTATACCACATAACCCCAAGCTGATTGCCCGGGACCCGACGAGGATCCATCAGAGAAGGCACAGACTGCGTTGGCTGGAAGGGAAGTTAACCATCGTTTGATGCTTCCTGACCTAGCTTCTTTTTCCCGACTGCCTGGTGTCGATGCCGGGAGACCATGGGGAAAGTAGAGCTTTCCAGGGCCTTCCGCTGTCGGAACTTGACGCACGCTTATTTGTAGGCGTGTCATGTACCTTTCTGGCTGTCTGAACAAGCGATCTCGTTGTCCCGATCTAAGACCTAGGCGTTTTATAGTATCTTTCGGGTCCTCCGCCGCCCGAAGGGCTAGAGGGTGCCAGGCATCCATTCTTCGCATTCGAGCTGCAGACCGCAACATCTTTTGTTGGAGAATTATTGATGCCGGGGGAATTCCCGCTTCACGATGAAGAGCGCTATTGGGAGTGGTACGCCACGCTGGGAGTGCTACTCGTATAGCTTTCGTGATAGTTTTGTCCAGCAGAGATGTGTGCCACCCTACTCCAGTGCCGACTTCTTTATCTCGGATGGTGGTTATTCGAGAAAGACCCGGCCACCACGCTTCTGCCCCATAGAGAGCTGTGTTCAGAACGCATGCCTGTACCGCACGAATTAGAGGTCCGGGTGCTGCCCCGCGCTGAACTCCGTTTATATGTCGTAAAAAGTGGACTAGACGATTAGCTTTTCCAGTCCATTCCTGTACATGCTGCTTGAAGTTCAGCTGAGTGTCAAGCCAGACTCCTAACCACCGGATATGAGGCGACGGTTCGATCCGGCGATCTTTCACCAAGATGGAGAGGTTGGCTGTGTTGATTTTCTTCCTAGGACCTCCTCCGGTCACTAGAAGTTCCGACTTTGCCGGGTCAAATTCGATCCTGTGTTCTCTGGCGAGAAGGACGAGGCTGTCG